CTTCACATCTTTGAATTTTCTCAGCTGATTTTGGACTAACATGTGCAAAATATTCATTAGGAGTGGCTGCAATTTTATTAGGATTTGAAGTATTAAATATTTATTTTGAAGTATGGAATATTTAAGATTGGTATACAGGGTTAATTGAATGTAAGTATCAACATCATCATTTAAAGTCTGTTGTTTCCCCACACACAATGGTTATTTTTAGAGATTTCGAAGTACCTGTATTCATAATAATACACAGTAAGGCCTAAAAGGAAATCTTGGCATTTCACTATTAAAAATCCTATTTAAGTACAGTACTTTGCCAATAAGTTGTCTTTTTCATACCAATGCTGTGATCCTGCTGAAGCCACGAAAACGCGCGTAGACGCAGATTGGAGAATGACTATATAATACAACAGTCTTTATTCCTCCAAAGACAAAGCAAGCATGACAGACAGACTATAGACATACGAGCCAAGTTGTGCTCATTCGCACTCTGGAGCTTGTCTCTTTTTCGTACAATCTGAGACAACTATACGTATATACAGTAGTTGTATCAGGTACAATTACGAAGCAATGTTTAATCAAAGTCTGTTGTTTCCCCACACACAATGGTTATTTTTAGAGATTTCGAAGTACCTGTATTCATAATAATACACAGTAGGGCCTATATGGAAATCTTGGCATTTCACTATTAAAAATCCTATTTATGTACAGTATTTTGCCAATAAGTTGTCTTTTTCATACCAATGCTGTGATCCTGCTGAAGCCACGAAAACGCGCGTAGACGCAGATTGGAGAATGACTATATAATACAACAGTCTTTATTCCTCCAAAGACAAAGCAAGCATGACAGACAGACCATAGACATACGAGCCAAGTTGTGCTCGTTCGCACTCTGGAGCTTGTCTCTTTTTCGTACAATCTGAGACAACTATACGTATATACAGTAGTTGTATCAGGTACAATTACGAAGCAATGTTTAATCGCACTACTGTACTGTCCTATGCTCGACTGAATTTCAGGAGTCACGTGAAGTAGAACAGCTAATCAACTGCTTAATTTTCTTTTATTGGCAATTCTCATATGGGACAAAAATATTGCGCGCAGTACCGACAGTTCAGCAATAAGTATGAAATGTCACCGTCAGCCACTTGGCCTTAGACTTTTACCAGTCATTTTCTTTTTACAATCTTTTTTTTTAAAACAAATATACAGCAAGTTAACACATGACAACTGATTAACTTCCATTTTATATATATGTTATAAACTTGTCCCCTAACTTACATAGCAGAGTTTTAATTAAAATTTCTGGTAAGTATATGTAGTTGCAATGTGCCAAATTACTTACTTTTCCAGACTATATATTTTAAAATGCCACAAATGCTCGTAATTAAGGTTTTGATATGGTAAAAAATTGACATTTAACTTAAAAATGCCGAAGGTCTCTTGAGCAAACAATTGTGGCTACTAGAGATAATCGCCCAATACTGAACCTATATTTTTGCGTTGGATGCGAGCAAAATCCGGTATGATGTCGGTAAACCCGGAAGTAGACCTAGGCCTAGCTATCTGTCATCATACTCGTGTTTGTATTGAGCTTTCCTCCTAACTGCATGTTGAGCCTGGCGGCGTACATTTTTATTGTTAAAAAGTCAATAATTTAATTAATATTTTATTATTATTATTATTATTAAGCCTAGGCCCTTATCTTAGTTGGGCTGCCCAAGTAAGGTTGTTTCATTTGTCACCTGTATCCCTTTTTATCTTTTTTGTTGTGCTAGCAATTTAGTGATGATGCATACAGTTAGGAAATTGAGTCCAATCAACCTCAATAAGTTTTTAGATTATAAAAATTACCTACGGCTAAAACTATACTTTTTTTTTTTTTATCTATTTCTGGTCAGAAAATGAAGACCAATGAATTTTCTAAGGAAGCTGAAAATGGGCAGAGATGAAAGAGTGAGAGGTTGACTCTACAGCTCATCATTTTTACTCAATTGCACTGCTTTCTTGTCTCCTCAATCAAAATAAGATTATATGTAATTTATAATAAAGTGTAATGATTGTTCAACCTTTAAAAACTTAAAAACTCAAAACCAAGGCTTTCATATGTTTTTATCATTTCCACTGCAAAATTATGTTTTCTTGCCTGATCCAAATTAAATTAGTTCTTTTCATTCTGATTTACTTTTCTTTCATTTTTTTTGTTTATTTAATCCACTTGGGAAACAGTGCTGCATCACTGAAAGTGCTATTAATAAAAAGACAGAATTATTAATAAATAACTGGTTTAGAAAATATATTTTATTGGACTACTATTGCAATTAGATACAATGTAATGGTAATTAGATAAAATGTACAGGTAATTTTATTTTAAAAAACCAAACAGGCAACATCCAATGAATATTGTTCATTTTATATTGCTAATAAATGTATTAAATTGTAACTCTTTTCCTCGCATTTCAAGTGTATTGCAGGGATGGGCATAAAAATAGGACAAAAGGATAAATTATATTTTTGATTGCACCTAATTTTCTTTTAGAACTAGGGTATATACATGGTGTACCGCAAGCATTTTTTTTTTCCTATTAATTGTTACATCATAAATTCAACTTCAACTTAAATTTAACAATAAAATAGAATAAAGGAGAGGAGTACAAAACTACAGTAACATAAACCACCAACTCCCTGCATAAAAACACCATCCCACACATACTGTACTGTTACAAAGACTGGATACCGTACGTTTAATTGTGAACACAGGCCTAGGGCCTAATATAATTATATTTTTTAAATAATATTATGAATACATGATTAACAGTCCTAGAAGGTCCAAGCAAGGTAATTCACCAGAAGAACGCACATCTCCGCTCTTGAACATAGCGTGTGCGTACAGTCCTTTGATCTTTACTGTGGCATCAACAATCCGGTACTAGTTGCCAACAATCCGGTAACAGTTGCGAGTACAGCTGTCAATTAATAGTCTATGCGTGCCATTTGTTTTATGGTGTTAGTTTTTATTTTATTAATTTTGGATACTTCGCAATGTCGGTTACATCTGATTTTTTTGACCGCGAGCTTGTTAAATGATTCTATAAACTGCAATTTGATTTGTGAAAATTGACCAAGAAAATGAAAAGTTATAGCAATTTAGAATTTACGAATTTTATAAAATTTCATGTTCTTATGTAACATTAATCTGTCATGTTGAATTGCCTTGGTCCCAGCGAGTTATATCTGCCGACTGTATTACGATAACCACAGGGAGTTTTGCAACTCTAGTACTCTAGGTTAAACGAAAAAAGCATCTGCAACAAACGTCCATGCTAGGTCGTCTGTAAGGCCCGGAGCCTCCCAACAGTACAATACTAGGCAACATAGGGCTAGGCTATACCTGATTGTGAGTGATAGGCGTACATGTTACGTTCACCATCCTTGTATCTAGGCCCAAATCCATGTCAAACTGTTGATATTTAAAATATTGACACACTCTAGATTTACTGTTTGATTGGTAATTTAAAAAAGAATATAGACCGTTAGCCATCAAGCATATTTGCAAAATATTAAAACAACTGTCGCGATGTAGGCCTAGTCTCCATTTATTGTTTCCGTATAACATTTAGGTGGTGTAATTTAGCTTTCCCTGGTATGAACATGGTATGACGTCGATCACCATGAGAACACAATGCAGGAAGTATTAGATTGTGTAGTTTATATAAGAGCGAGCATCCGCAAAGCAATTGGGTTGTCATAATTAGTTGTAAATTGTTTATCAGTTGATTAACATTAACATTTATATAGTGCACATTTTCTACATCGTAATCACCGGCGCTTTACATGACTAGTTTAATTTGTTTTTTAATTAATTAACTAATTAATTAATTAATTAGTTTTAAATTATTAACCATAACATTATGATAAGAGCAGCAGTGATTTGGATTGGATTGGATTTATTCGGTGTAAACACCAAGGATAGCCCACGAAAGTCTAGAACAAGACTTATTTCCAGTGGGGTCCTTCTGGTGGTGATTGGACAGTACACTGGGAGACAAACCCCTACTCTTTTCCGAAGAGTGTACTGTGTTCTTTAAAATGCACATGAGCCATAAATGCACACGGGACCAACGGCTTGAACGTCTCATCCGAAAGACAGTGTGCTATGTAACTTGTATTTCAGCCCTCTAGCTGAAAAACAAGGTAAGGCAGCGATGGCAATTGAACCGGGGACCTAGAGATCTCCACGATTCAGCGCACACACAGTGGCTACCACCAGATTAGCCGACTGAGCTAAGCTGCGGTACTGCAGGTTATAACCTTTGATGTTCGGTTTGAGATGTTTCCATGTAATTTAACTGTTCCTTGGTTAAATTAAATTATAGTTGAAAATGTATATTAAAAAAAATTGGGTTTTATCATAAAAGGTTTTGCTGACTCAGCATGACTTGATATATTGTCCTTTAGTGTTTGACTGGCATCACATATGGTTAAGTATAATAACTAGAATTACTCCATGTTAATATGCTACACAATAAAAAGCACGGCCTTCCCACAATGCAATTTTTCTCCAGTATAAAATGTAAAAGTCTTTGAATTCTGATGAACATTTTAAATTTGTATTTAAGATAAGTCAGTATTTTGATGGTATTATGGCCAGGGGTCTTCCCCCACTGGCACTGTTGGGATAAAAATAATTATGTTCAAATAATTAGAAATCACCTAATCATACCACCTTATTTTTGAGCTAGCACCTCCCCCTACTTAACCTTGGCACCCCATCATCCCCTCCATTTTAAGGCTCTATAAGCCACTGCGTAGGCTAGTTTAGGCCTAGCCTAGGCCTGGCTATATATAAGGCTGGCCTACAGTACAAACTGGGCTAACTAAACTTTTAGTAGCACAGCACCAACATTAACATCATGACATGAATCTGTGACGTGAAGTAGAATAAGCCCCACTTCTTTTTCTATCATATAAAAAGTTTCTGATAATTGTAGCAAAAGTCTACTTACTTTGGACAAGAACTTTAAAACTGCATGATACAACATTAGCAAATTGGTCAGAAAATGTATATGTCACTGTTGTGGTTCCAAGTGGGAATGAAGTGTTTGGACCATTCGACATAATAGTAGTTACTGTAGTTAAATCCGTAACAGTTGGTTCATTCCATGTCACAATAGCTGAATCCTGTGGGTTTGTATTTGTGACTGTAATATCACCTGGGCATGCATCTTCAAAATCTGGAGGTTCATCATCAACTGTAACAAACATGTCACACATGAAGTTAAAACATGTGTTTGGGGGGTGGGGGCTTGCCATGCCAAAACTAGCATCGGTATCTTTTTGATATATTTGTATTCTCCACATTATCAACTTTAAAATGACAGGTCATTTACTGGAATCATCTTACTATTGCTGAAGAGCAGAAGTACTGTATTATTGCATCTCCATACAATACTGCCACATTCTTTGCTAATAAGCAATTAGTAGAGCTCCGCATAGTACACTATAGGAAAATTATTATATGAAGGTTAGATTTAATGCTTGAAAAAATTTCCTGAGGGCTTGCAAGGCCCAAAGGAAATTTTTGAATACATTAAATCTAACCTAAGTATAATAATTTTCCACTAGTGTACGATGCATGCTCTACTAATTGCTTTATAAGTCAATCGCCGTTTTTAATGTTAGTTTTTTTTTACCAACTGTGTTGTACCAGTCATCGGTTGCTATAGTGATATGATCAGTATACTGTGTGCGTGTTTCTATTTTGTGCATATGCTGATTTGTGCTCCTGCAGTAGGCCTACGTGTTAACTACACATCAGCAGGACTGTATGGATACAATGAATAACTAGGCTATTTTGTAATTTGTATTGTGTTAGAAGAACTTGTTTTATAATTTTTCACATTCGTCAAAGAAATAAACATTTTTCAAAGCATTCGAGAGAAAAAATACAATCACTGTCACTAACTTTCTGGTCGGTGTAGACAGGTAAAAATCTTGGGATGATTTCATAACTACGCTAGGCTATATAGCCTAGGCTAGTAGTAGGAGGAGGCCTCAGCAGCCTGTTGTTATTAATCTAAAAAAATATTTACCAATTACAGTGATAGTAAAGCTGCATACTGCAGAATTACTTGATGGATCAACTGCTGTATATAAAACAACTGTGTGGCCTGGTCCAAAAGCATCACCAGGTTTATACATCGCTGATATTACTTCCACATTTCCTGAGTTGTCTGTTGCAGTGGGAACATTCCATGTGACAACAGGATTTTCTGTGGTATTGCCAATTATGCGTGTTACATCATCTGGACATAAATCAAACTCAGGCACTTCTGTATCGGGTACCGCTGAAATTACAACATTTTTAGTTGTATTAATCATTTAGGAAAAGGTTTTTTCTTCACATAAATAAAATGTAGCAATTTGATAAATTTGAAAAATGGTAATAATCTAATTAAAATGTCATTTTATACATAATCATCATTGTAATAATAATTATAACAATAGAAATGTGGGATTCAAATAAACGTCTAGATATTCATCCTCCACACTACAGCTGTATAATAATTCCGGATTGGGAACAGCAGATTTGAATACGGAATCCATTGGCAATAGAACATAAGTGAAGACAGACAGTTGTGTGTGACTGAGTATTTGATGTTTGCAATGGTTTATCTGAGAAAGGTAGGTGAATATTTTGTATTATGTAATGTATTTCTTATAATCAGTATAGTACTGGTACTTAAAATACAGAAAAGATAGTGAGGTGAAACACATTATTATTTACTGACAGGAAATTGTGATAAAGTAGAATATCACATTGTTCGGACTTTCTCTTTTATTTCAAAATGTTTATTTAAAATTTATAATCTTGATAAATTTATTTTAAATTTTAATACACACTGATCAACTAATATTTACTTGTACATATGCCTGTACCGACGCTACTGAGGATTTTTTTTCATTTGAAATATTTAATTACATCCTTTGAATTAAGCAAATACCGGAACAATATAGGGAAACAATTACAAAGTTTTTTTCTTGAATATATAAAATAAGAAAACAACAAAGTGGGAAGACAACTACTGGAGAATATTTTAAATGAAATCTTGAAGAGCCACCCAAACAAAACAAGTGCAGCCAGAATACAGACGAGACAGGATGGGAAAAAAGGACAAATTATTCAAGGTTAAAGGACGTCATTTCCTGAAGATGAACTAATAAAGGTCGAAATATTTAATCAAAATGGCTTTTAATTTGTATCACGTTGTTTTTTTTCATATTATATTGCTGTATGTTACTAATTTTTACCTCTTTGGATAGAACATACACTAGGTAATGTGTGAAAATTCTGTAGCATTGTGAACTACAGTACCATACGTTTGATTATTGTAAGGATTTGTAGATTGAGTAGCACAGACACAAAAACAACTATGTGGTGTTATACAGTACCCGCATCAACTTTTTTTTAGAATAGACTTATTTATATTGTTATTGTAGTTTTGGGGGTTTTTTTTATTGGACCCCATGTCACATTAGAACTTTATATTTTATTCTACCAGATGCTTATTGCCTTAATATTTAAATAGTATGCTACTCCACTTAGTGAATAATAGCTCTTAGTCCATGACAAAAGATTGTTGCATTGTTGCTAAATTTGCATATGCGTAAATCCATTGCCAGCCGGTCATATAAAATGACTAGCGCGAGAATTCAAATCACTCAAATTTACCACCATAGATTGAGTCAATCCACAGCCAATTCTGTGAGGTTCATGAGACGCAGTGTGCATTGGACGCACGAAACTGCCTAGGCCTTTCTGAATTTACACAGTTGGTAGAACCGTGATAAAGTGGATTTTGTTCAGTTAAAAACCGACGGAATGGGGAGAGTTAGGATAGAAACTCCGACAAGGCTCGCAGCTGAACGTGGTGTAGCTCATCTATGTTAACCTACAGTACGGTAATGGACATTGTGAGTATTTGAATAATTGTTATAAGTGAAAGTAATGTAATGCCTATGGATATTTAGATATTGATTATAATGAATACCATTAAATGTTAATGTATGGATACTTGGATTATAATCTGAAAACTATTAATATATAGGTGGAACATTAACGTGTATTACTGATGTATGTATAATTATATCTATATATATGTTGCATATAACATAAATCAAGGTAGCCGTTAACACTGTTAAATCATATATAAATCATCAAAGTAGTAGTCCTTTATCCTAACACTGTATTTACCTTACTTTGATGATTTATATATGTTGCATATATATGTCTGTGCATATATATGTTGCATATATATGCATATATATGTGTATATATGTATATGTGTATATATATATGTATATATGTGTATGTATGTATATAGATTTAACATGGCTGGATGGTTTATAAGACATCATTGTTTTTATGCATAATATTTTGCTTTAATACAATGTCACCTAACTTTCCATTTGGGAGCTACTGTGTATTGTTGTATGGAACTTTTAAGCTAATGATGAAGCATATGGTAAACCAAAGCTACCTATACTCATCAAGAATGGGAAGCTGTTGTTGAAAGCGGATACTTAACAAATTGAATCAGTTGCTTTCACATGGGAACACAGCGATTGCAATAAGGACGTATAGTATCACGAGAACATTCGTCTTTGTTATAATTCAAATAATGATACTATACTATAATATTAATTATACTGGTAGTTATCAGTTATTGCTATGGAGATATAGTAGTGGACAAAATCGTGCAGATTTTGTAGCAATTTTCCAGATTAACTGAGTAATGTTATTTGAGAGATATATGTTATAGATTATAAGTATTATTATTGATCGAATGTTATATGTTATGTTTGTATTGTTTATTGTTTGTTTGAGAAGATTATTGTTTTAGAAGAAATAAATATTTATTTATTTTTGAACTTAAAAAGTTGTTTGTAATTTGTTTGTGAACTTGTGTTGGACAGACATTAGACCTTCGATCCAAATTGTTCATCTGTGACTTTCATATTGATTTGTGCATTTCATAGGTGACACCCCATTCGAAATAAGTCTTAGGACTTGATAAGCATGAATTTGTTATCTTTTTTTTATCTTGTTGAATTTTTTCTACATTTTCGGTATAAGGTGTGTTTTATATGACAGAAATGTAAACCCTGAAAAGTTGCTATTAAAAAATGGACTCCAAGACTCGATTGAATGTCTGAAAAGTGCAATGGAATGTACGAATTGGGATGATTTTAAAAATTCTGCAGGCAATTTAAATGAACTTACTACAACAATCACATAGTTGACGTGACCATTACCATCTAAAGTTGTAAAATTGTATGCAAACAATAAACCCTGGGTTACAAAGGATTTAAAACATTAATCAACAAGAAAAAGGGTGCACAAATGAAGAGGGGACACAATTGAAATAAAATCAATACAGAAACAGTAAAAATGTGCTATCCAAAGAGGTAAAAATCAGGGTAGAAAGAATGTTGAAAGTAATCTTCCAGAGAACAACATGAAACAGTCTGGAACAGAATGCGAATGATGAGTGGCTTAATTGTAATGCTAAAAAACTTGCAGGAAACTATTTAAAGCATACTCATGAATATGTAAATGAGTTGAATACTTTCAACAGATTTGATAGGCTTAACATCACTGAAGAGTAGCATGAATGCCTTAACCAGTAACCACTATTGAGATAGAAACTCAGCAGTTCCGACTTTTCCCAAAAGGTGTTCACAACAATTATCTGATTTTTTGCATCAATATTTGTGCTTTGATACTCAAACTTTTCCAGATTATGGAAAATGTCCTGTATTATCCCTGTGCCAAAGAAACTGTTAATTCTATGAATGATTTAAGACCTATAACCTTAACATCCGTGGCCATGAAAATATATGAGAATATCTTAATTAAGATTTTAACACCGTTAGCACAAATTCATATTGATCATTAATTTGCATACCGTTCCTCACGTAGTACTTCAGATGCTATTTTATTTTCAGATGCTGAATTTTTCTCCATTAGCAGAAGTGGTCCATACCACCTGAGTTTTTGACAAAAACTCGAAGAGTGGGGCTGGGAGGGACTTTCACAAATGGAAGGTCTAGACCACATCAGCTCCACCATGGCTGGAAGTGGCCCTCTCAGACTTTGAATATAATTTTCATTTTACGTGAGTGCGAGAGGCCGTCCTGATATCCGGGAGACTTGGGACCCCTGAATTGGCATATAACCACACACATAACAAAACACTAGGCTCATCTTCTTATTACATACATACATACATTTCAACATTTATATAGCGCTATTTCATTAGATAAGAGCGCTTTTTTCTTCTTTTTTAAAATTTTTTACTAATAAACTGTAGCCATGAAACAGAAGGAAACCATTAAGTAAGAAAATAAAATAACCAGATAAAACCAAACACACCGCACTATTCCCCAGCAACTTAAGGCACAAAGCCCAAGAGGACAGTACTGCATTAACAAGTGCTCTTGCATTCTCCAAATTTGAGCTTCACTCCTTTGGGGAGGCTAACAATCGCCTAAAAAACAATAGGAATTACCTATTATCTTTAAAGGAAGCACCCTAATAGCCCAGGGCCCCAGTGCTTTCGCTTTCTGCCGTCACTCTGCTACGTATACTACTACCGCATAACAAAGAAAGCGACCCACGTGGTGCATTCTTAAATATTACACACATTATTAAATTGTATTAGACGATAACACGATATCATTGATTGAATGATCTGACCACCCTCGCATTGCAGTAATACTGAACTAGGCCTAGCTTAGGCCTCATGTTTTTGTGGAAAGCTAGATAGTCGTTATGTACCCGACAGTCGGCTGCCTTTATATTTTCACCTGTTTTCAGTTTGCATTACATTCAAAGGGTACAACTGTCGGGGATATAGTACCTTCATATGACTACTCATACGTATACAACAGAAAAAAACGTCGCATGGAGTTAGTGAAAAATGGAGATCTCAATGAAAAAACGATGTATTTCAGCAAGTATTAAAACATTTTAGTTTTATTTTAGGCCTTCTTCAAAATACCTATTCCTACAGCAGTTGATTTTTTTTGCCGTAAAACCAAAATAGTTTCATCCATGCCGACTTTCTGGACGGTTAGCGTGAGCCCTACTGAACTCTGCAGAAACTTCACATCGATCTTCGCATCGCGATGTAAAACAAAATGTCGGAAAACTTTTCTTTGACGCATGCGCATTTGCATAAATGTCTACACACACACGCACACACAATAAAAAACATAGGAAATAGCAAGAGTGATTACAATAGTTCCTATTGCATTACATGCATAGGAACTAAAAATAGAGTAAGATCATTAGTACAGTGTAGTGAAAAACAGGGCCCCGTCACCATTTTTCGGGGACCAAGGTTTCTGTTGATTTGCCATCACTAGGGTATAAATAAAAAAATGAGCAGGGGTGAGCCTCCAGAAAAAGGGCGGAACATGCTTTTTTGCTTTCAAAATTAAGATAATGGCTCATAACTTCTACTATATCTACTTCTACTAGATAAAAAAGGGTAAATCTGGTGTCTAACTATGTTATTAGGGTCAATGAATTCAATGAGACATGTTTCGAAAACCTAAAATGTCAGCCATTTTTAAATTCAAGATGGATGCCGTAGAAATTGTCAAAATCAAATATTTCAGTATAATTCCACAAATTCCACTCCTCTATGAAAAATGGTAAATGTCTAATCATGTGTTTAGTCTTTCTGAGTTAAACAGCCATTTTGAAATTCAAGATGGCCGCCACAAAAACTGTCGAAAATCAAAATATTTTGGTATGTAACTCCTTAATCAAAAATGGTAAATTTGGTGTCTAATCATATCATATTGTGCCCTCTGAGTTTATATAAATATGGTTTCAAAAGCTAGAATGGCAGCCATTTTCAAATTCAAATTGACCGCCACAAAAACTATTGAAAATATAATATTTTGATATGCAATTCCACTTCTCCTCAATCAAAAATGATAAATTTGGTGTCTAATCATATGTCATTATGGAGTCCTTATTAATCCAGTAAAACATTTCAAAAAGCAAGGATGGCAGCCATTTTGAAATTCAATATGGCCACCACAAAAATCTTCAATCAAAAATGGTAAATTTGGTGTCCAATCATATTTTGTTATACTCTATGAGTCCAATAAACATGGTTTCAAAAAAGCAAGGACAGCAGCAATTTTGAATTTAAAGATGGTGGCCACAAAAAAACGCTGAAAATCAAATATTTTGTTTTTATAATTAAACTTAATCGAAAATTGCAACAAATTTGGTGTGACAATTTTCAGAAGTGAATAGTACTATTTATACCATACAATAAAAATGTCTTTGTTAGATAAACCAAGAGACAAAACTTAACTATGAAAACGTATAAAAAGTTTAATTAATTGTGTGCTAGGTAGTTGTCTCATTTAATGATTTATTAACCTTGTATACAAACTTTAAGACAAAACTAAGTTTTTCTATGGTTGAGCTTGTAAGAGCAATAGAATCTCTATAGAATTTCAGCAGAATTTTTTTTGCCTCTTTACTTTCCTGAGCCAACAAGTTTACGTTTTAGTTTTAACTGTATGGTAAAGAAGAGTTGATGAAATATGAAAAAAAGGGAATGGAGAATACTAGACAAAAATACCTAATACACACTACACACAAGACCAGTTTCCATCAAGTATAAAGAGTTTAACAAAATCCTAAAGAGTGATTACAAGTCAAAAAAGAAAGTTGAGTTTAATAAGTTTGAATTGTGCTCTTTGGAAATTGAGTTGGTGTAACATATAATTGTGAAATACCAGAGTTATAATTGTATGATTTTGTAGTCATAAAATGGCAGCAATCGTAATTTAACTTTATCTTATGACCGGCTGTTATAGAAACTCTGTTTTTTTTTTATATTGAAGAAAAACCTTTTCAATAAGTTTCTTTGACTGAAGGAGCAACAAATCTGCTGAAATCCTGTGGAGATTATATTGCTCTGAAATATTTAACTGAAAAACTTACTTAGTTTGTCTTAAAGTTTATATACAATGATTTCAAAAGCAAACCACAACAGAGCCAAGGGTGAGCAAATGCAAGTCACTTGCAAGATTGCCACCAGACAAAGATTCAGTACTTCAGCACATTCGAGCCTATATAATCATCTATCTAAATAACTCTTTTTCATTTTTTGTACATTGCAATACTTATTTGTCAAGTGGAAATATTCAAACAAAATATTTGATTTTCAATGATTTTTAGGGTGACTATCTTGAATTTCAAAATGGCGGCCATGCTATCTTTTTGAAACCATGTTTATTGAACTCAGAGGGCACAATAACATGATTAGACACCAAATTTTCAATTTTTTTATTGAGGAGAAATGGAATTACATAACAAAATTTTCGATTTTCAATTTAACATGTTTGATTGAGAAGTGGAATTACATACCAATATATCAGATTTTTGACAGTTTTTGTGGTAGCCATTTTGAATTTCAAATTGTCTGCCATCTTAGCTTTTGAAGCCATGTTTATTGAGCTGTGAGGGCACAATAATAAATAATTAGACACCAAATTTACCATTTTTGATTTAGGCAAATTGGAATTACACACCAATGTATTTTGATTTTTTACAGTTTCTGTGGCAGCCATCTTGAATTTCAAAATGGCTGCCATCCCAGACCAGGTTCATCAACAACCAAACCAACATTGTTTTGTATATATTTCACAAACAAAGTTAAAGCTAGAACATGAATATGTATTTTTTATGTATTATATTAAAATGTAACATGTTTTCCATTTAATTAAAAGCACTTTGGAGCAGTGAGAATGGTTTGGTTTCCCACGCCCATCACTGAATCGGTTTATTCTTCAATGTGTCCTTGGCCAACATTGCTTCAGTCTATAATATCGAATGGCTCAGTTAGACACCTAGATGAAGACGACATTGAATGTCAGAGGGAGAAGAAATAAAGAAGAAATGAAAGCATATGGTTATGTAGTTTAGCGAGTACTGCAGACAAAATCATACATTCTGGTGAGGTAGGCTTAAACAGTTTTGTGAACCAATGACAGAACCAGAGCCTTGCAGGCGTCAACGTTCCTATGCATGATACATGACTTAAAAAGTATATATACATATGTGTATATATATGTGTATATATATACTGTATATGTATATATATATATATATATATATATATATGTGTGTATTTATATATATATATATACGTATATATATATATATATACATATACACGCATATATATACACGTATATATACACGTATATATATATACGTGTATATATGTGTGTATATATATATGTGTATATATATATGTGTGTGTATATACATATACGTATATATATGTATATATATACAGTATGTATACATATATACGTATATATATATACATATGTATATATATACGTATATACGTATATATATGTATATATATACGTGTATATATATATACGTATATATACGTGTATTGGGTCAAATTTGTGTGGAGGTCGAAAAATACAGGGGGAGTCTTTATGGCCCAAAATAGTGATTTTAGACCACATTGGTAATGTAATTCGACAGGCAAATTACAGTAATATTTTTAGCAAATTTCTTTGAAAAAATTTCGTAGGCATAGAGCCTAGGCCTAGCTAGGTATACAGTAATTTCATTTTACAGTAGTTTGGAACGATATAAGGAGTGGAGGTGGTGGCAGTGGCCTACTAGGACTACAATTTATTTGAAGCTATCTTGGGTCCAAGCATCCACACCAGTTAGGCCCAATCGTCTGTCACCCCAAGTTTTCATTACGATGATCAAGAACGTATACTATCTAGGCCCTAGGCTAGGCTTAGATTGCTGCCGTCACTCTGCTACGTATACTACTACTGCATAACAAAGAAAGTGACCCACAAGGTGTATTCTTAAATTTTACACACATTATTAAAATGTATTAGACGATAACATGATATCACTGACTGAACGATATCTACCATCCTCGCATCGCAGTAACTCTACTGTACTGAACTAGCTTAGGCCTCATGTTTTTGTGGAAAGTTAGACAGTCGTTATGTACCCGATAGTCGTTATGTACCCGACAGTCGGCAGCCTTTATACTGTATCTTCACTTGTTTTCAATTTGCATTCAAAGGGTACATTGCTGCATAGCCAACTGTTGGGGATATAGTACCTTCATATGACTTCTCATCTGCTTCTCATACAACAGAAAAAAATGTTGCATGGAGTTAGTGAAAAATGGATATCTAAATGAAAAAACGATGTATTTCAGCAAGTATTAAAACCTTTTTGTTTTATTTTAGGCCTTCTTCAAAATACCTATGCCACAGCAGTTGATTTTTTTGCCGTAAAACCAAAATAGTTTCATCCATGCTGACTTGCCAATCGGTTAGCGTGAGCCCTGACTGAACTCTGCAGAAACTTCACATCGAACTTCGCATCGCGAGGTAAAACAAAATGTCGGAAAACTTTTCTTTGACGCATGCGCATTTTCATAAATGTCTCCAAACACACGCACACACATACTACACACAATCAAAAACAAAGGAAAAATGAAGAGTGATTACAATAGTTCCTATTGCATTACATGCATAGGAACTAAAAAGAGGAATGTGTATGCTGTCACTAGTTTACTGGGTAATAGGCCTCGGTTTACAAACTTCCAGACCTTGTTCCTTGTTTGTTCATTCTACAGTACTGTTAACTAAACATATGGCATGTTTCTCATTCTTTCTTCTATTCTGACTATCCCATTCAGTGTCTTCTCCATCTAGATCTACAATTACTTCTTCTTTGTCTACCTGAGCGATTCCATATTATTTTATTCAAATACATGGATATAGTAATAATACACAAAACTCATCTATGAATAATTTTAATCCTGTACATAATTTGAGTAATATCTTGGAGATTAATTGTAGCTTACTTGTGACGTTAACAGTGAAGGTACAGCTTCCCTTGTTGTTAGCTTCATCAAAGGCAATATACTCTACAGTTGTAACCCCAAATGAAAAAAAAGAATTTGGAAAAACTGTAGAAGATGGTTCTATGTTTCCGCCACGATTATCAGAGACTGTTGCTGGATCCCAAGTAACCTGGACTGTTTCAGACAATGGACCTAAAGAGACTTCAATATCATCAGGACAAATTAAGACAGGTCGTGTTGTATCTGGTGAAGCTGTATACAAATAAAACAAAAATTAATTAATCGCTGGCATAGAAAAAATATATTTAAGATGATGATAAAAACATTATGTTGGTATTCTGTAACAGACCCACTACAGTGCAGAATTTTACATGTATATAAAGTAGAAAAAAAAACATAATGAAAAATTAGTTTACTTGGATAGACAACAGACTGTTTATAATTTATATTGTATAAAGGTTTGCATGGGGAAGTAACAATGATAGTAATGCTTGCTGCCTACCATAAGATATGGGACTAAACAACCAAAAACAAAAAATGTTATGGAGCAGACATCTGGAATGCTATTATTGATTGTGTCCATTGTTCATCCATTGTAATGCATACCCAATTACAAAATATATTGTAACTAAATCTTTAAGTTATAGTAAGATTGGCTTCTTTAATTTCAATGAAGCTGTAGGCAAGTAATAATTAAACTGGTAATTTATTATTATTTATAACCTTATTTTTTTCACGTAAATAGCAGACACTTTTTAACCCGGTGTGAAATAATTTGGTACTTTTATAAAAAAAATGAATATGTAGAAGAACAAGCTTAGTTGAAACATGGAGGAAAACAACTTTTCCATGTTAAAATAAAGCATATTTTTATAGATTTACTAGGTCTGTAAGTAAACTTGTAATTAAGCATTTAATTGAGAAACCATACCAGTAACTACAACATTAAATGTACAGAATGCTAAACGTCCATCTGTGTCTTCAAATTTGTACATGACAGTGGTGCTGCCTATGGGGAATACATCTCCAGGCTTATGGGTGCTGTTTATACAAACTAATGGGCTGTCATCTTCTGCTGTGGGCTCTTCCCAAACAACAACTGCAGTGGTAGCATCACCATCAGTTTCAGCTTCGATATATTCAGGACAGTTTTTTACAACTGGTGAGATTAAAACTATAGAACAAAAAGCAAAGTATAACAATTATGACAAAAGCAATAGTTAAGGTATTTAACATCTCAATATTTGCCAACATAATAGGATTTTTTTTCAGTAGTACCATATACATTTTCCAATTAAATCAGCTGTTGTATTTTCTGATAAAGCATAGAACACAAAAGACAGAAATTTTAACCAATGAGCTCAAAAAAGCATTTTAAAATGATTGGGATCCCAGTAAGACAAAGGAATTCAAAAAAGTCTCTTTCTAATGAGATTTTTTAAAAGAAGGGACCTCAGGATGTCCCGAAATGGCACTCTCAGAATTGAAAAATTTAGGGAATGAGGACGTTTGTTAGGGAGACGGTTCGCACGTGGCGCCTTGGGTCGGACTGTTCCATTATTTTTGAAGGGGTGTTCCGTTCCCAAAACGGAACACCCC